TGAAAAAGGAATGTAAAATTTGTGTTAGTGTTGATAATAAGAAAAACATGAAGACTGTCTGGTTGGGCATTTCTTTCAAAATTCTCTTTTTTTTCTAATTATAAAATGGAAATATAAGTATTTCATCAAGGGCCTGATCAAACTAAACTTTTTTATTTCAGGGATGTACTCTCATAATTGAGCCAGTGAGCATTATTATTAAAAAACAACAAAAACTCAGAGGCTTAAAACGAGCTGAGAAGGAGCTTTTTACTGAATTCTGACAGTGAAAATAGATGAAGAGATATCAAAATGAGGAAAATAACCAGTAATGGTGTACAAACCTGTAACATTACAATATAAAGGATACCATCAACTGGGTGCCTATTGAAATACTTTAAGGATCAGAAGTATATTTGGCATATCCTAGAATACCAGTGTTGAAATATATATATAGTTTGTGTGTGTACAGTAAATCCTATAGTATTTTCAGGCAAGCTCAAATGCAATGTTTTCAAACTGCCTCCTTATTTCATTCTGTTATATGAGCTCTTTCTTTTTAATTTTTATCCTTGCCCTAAAGGGTATTGTGAGTTGAGGGGCAAGAAGGAAGGAGGAGGAAACATTCAGAATCAAGGTGTCAGAAACATAGACCACAGTTTGGTAAATAATATAATATACTATGATACGGGTGTAGTCTCTTCTCTAGAATTGCCTGATCTTAAGGTTATTGAGGAAAAGTATGAAAACCTTTAGTTGATTTTATTTTGTCACATACATTATACTTACATGGAATAATAATTTTGATAAAATTCAATTGTAAAATGTAAAGGGAGCAAAAGATGTTATCATAGAATTCTTTAAAAGAAAAAAGAGCAAAAACTACAGGTACTTGGGCCAACTAATATCCAATAAGCTTTCAGTAAATCCCTACTGATTTACATACGTTCATTTTCTTTTCTAAAAAATGTGCCAACACGAATGAAAGAACCTAAGAACAAGAATATTCAGTGTAGTATTGTTTGTAATCACTGAAGATTGGAAATGTTCGTTAAAAGGACTCATATATATTTTATATATATATGATATACAAATATCTCCCACTTTTCGAAAATTTGTCTTAACGACACTTCACTCTTACGACAGTTTTTGCTAACCGAAATAAATCCAAAGAGGGTTTTCGCTTTTATGATAAAAGGTGAAAAGCAAAAACAGCATTTAGTGTTAGTTTTGAAGGAAGCCAATATAGAGACAGCACATACCCTAAGCAGTGAGAATGGGATTGCTTTTACTATAACTTCATGTTATTTTAGGTTTTATATGTTATTTGTTATGATTTGGTAGGTTATTTTGAGGGGTTGGGAACACCCCCAGTTTTTTCCATATAAATTAATGATAATTGCTTCTTCGTGAAATGTCATAGGAACGCTCTACTTTTGGATAGCAGGGAAAACCTGTACAGATATATATGTGTGTGTGTAAACGCACAGACTGAATCTGCAAACATAAGACACTGTTACCAGTGGTTTCCTCTAGGGAAGATAGTTGGTGGCTGGAAGACCAAGAGTGGATGGTCACTTACCTTTCATGCCTGCCCTTTTGTACCTTTAAAATTTTTTACTGTGTGTATGCATCGTCTGTTCAAAAAAGATAAAATAAAATAAACAAAACTTAAAATAAAAGTAGGCCTAACTCTCACATTGATGGTTTAACCGTATTTGTCACTGTTTTCCAGCTTTTCTTTCCTCCAAAAGCACACAGCCACCAGATTAATCTTAAAGCTCCATTTTTAACATGTTACAGACTCAAGAAGCTACAGTCGATCCCTGAGGTCTTCGCTCTTCTTTAGTTAGCCTTTTCCTGATCGGCCAGGCTCTCCCTCCACGTGCTGGCCCAGGTCCCATCTTCAATACTAAGTTGAAAGGCTTTTCTCTTCAACACACTTGATATAAGGTTGTTTTTCTCATGTTTGCCTGAACTTGCTATGGACATTTTCATCTCTATGACAGCTTATGCATTTTACCCCTTCCACCTTCCATTTTGTGAAAGCTTCTATGAATTCCTGTTAGATTTTCCCTCAAAACCACACAATTTAGCATTCGATTATGTAATGTGCTAATGTTTCATACGAATTAATCTTATATTCTCAACCAAATTAATTTGTTTATATGGAAGGTGTGGTGATTAAAGCATATTCCTATTCAAGGAATAAGGGGCAGAGTTTGGCTTTGTTCCATTGTACCATGATTTCTATAAGCAAGGGGTCATTCAGAAGAAGATACAACAACTGGACCTACCAATGAGACTGGACAGGGGCCGAGACACTTGTGAGAGGAGGAGCTTTGTGATGGCAGGATTCATTTCACTTAGTCAGTAAATTATGTGAAGTTTGACATTTTGTAGTTTTTATTACAAGAATAATGTAATAATTCTTTTTTTTATTACAAGAATAATGTATGTTCTTCTTAGCAAATGTAGATGAGTAAAAGGAATAAAATATAAATTACCTGTGACCTCATTATCTAGTGACAACTGGTCTATTTTGGTCTATTTTGGTATATATATATATGTATATTTTATAAATATGCATACAATGTATGTATATGTACAATGTATATTCATAAAACTGGGATCATACCATACCGACTTTTAAAATTTAAATTTTATATTTTTTACTGTTTAAATTGAGATAAATTTGATATAACTTAGACTCAGTAACGTGCATAGTCTCAGTGCTCAGTGAATTTTTACATAATACGTACCGTTTTTTTAACTTTTCCCAGGTGTTAAATATGTTTCTACATCATTTTAAATGACTACATGGTATACTACTGTATGCAGACCATTATTTATGTGATTGTTGGACTTTTAACTTCTCTAAAAATTTTTTATTATTATAACCATGTTTTTGGTGAAGATAGCTATCATTATTGCTATATCTTTCTACACATTCTTGATTATAATCTTTGGATAAGTTCCTAGGTATGGGATTGCTTAGACAAAGATCATGTAAAATTCTGACTTCTGATATGCAGATTTCCATTTCAGAAAGGATATTACCAATTTCTTCTGTAGCCAGTAGATGTTGAGTTAAAGTTTTACTAACTTTAAAACGCAGAATGTGAGAACATCGTGGTTCAGGAAAAAGAGACTTCGAGTTGTATTTAATAAAACATGAGCAAGTGCTTACAAAACTTCATTTCATAGTCATCTTTTCTAGTTCTTCAAAACAACATTAAAGCATTTTCCTTACTGTTCTCATGATGGAGAGTAACAGAACAATATTTTTTTTTTGGTAAGGGTTGTCTGGTGTTTGAGAGACTTCACATCACTTTTCATTTTAATTGTGGTAAGATATATATCACATAAAGTTTACCATGTTAACTATTTTAAGTGTACAGTTCAGTGGCATTAAGTACATTTGCATTGTTGTGCAACCATCACCACAGAATTTTTTTCATTTTCCCAAATTGAAACTGCATACCCATTAAACAATAATTTTCCATTCGTCCCTCCTCTGCTGTCCCTAGAAACTTCCATTTTTCTTTCTGTCTCTAAATTTGACTCCCCTAGGTATCTCATATAAGTAGAACCATACAGAATTTGACCTTTTGCGTGTCTTCAAGGTTCATCCATGTTGTAGCCTGTGTCAGAATTTCCTTCCTTCTTAAGGTTGAATAATCTTCCATTGTATGTATAAACCACATTTTGTATCTATTCCTCTGTCAGTGGATGCTTGGATTGCTTCTACCTTTTGGCTATTGTGAGTAATGATGCTGCGAACATGCGTGTACAAATACCTGTTCAAGTCCCTGCTTTCAGTTCCTTTGGGTATATACCCAGAAATGGAATTGCTGCATCATATAGTAATTCTATGTTTAATTTTTTGAGAAATAATTATCCTGTTTCACATAGCCGGAACTTCACATCATTTTAAGGCCATTTGTCAGTTATTCTGGTCAGGATTTTGTGATACCCAAGTAGGCCTCCAAATATCTCAAGGGATGTGAAATTTCTAAAACAAAATTAATTTCTTTATTTAAAAATTTCATACAGAACTTTTAGCAAGAGAGGATATATAATGAAGGAGTAATAAAAATGGTGCTTTAATACTTTATTCTCTTCAGAAATAAACCTTAAAAAAGATGTCTATAGATGGGCTCAATGAAAATGTATTTTTTTCCAAGGTAATAATTTATGGGGGGCATTTAAAGGGTTAAGTCTGTTGTATAAGGTGTTGTATAACTGACCACTCACCTTCTCTAAATCTTAGACCTGACCTGAATTTCCTTGGGCCACAGTGAGCTGAAACACAGACTCACTCTCAGCAACCCCTCTAGGTCAGATACACTCCTGAATCTGGAGAGAGCCAGTCCAGGAGAATGGCATGCTGAATTCACCCCTATCATCAGACAGTTATCCTTCTCACTATCCTATTTTGTTTCCTTTATAACACAAATCACTATTTTAAAATGATCTTGTTTGCATATTTCTCGTCTGCCTCCCTCCATCAGAAAGTAAGCTCCTTAAGAACTGAGATTTGTTTACCACACCTTTTCCTATAGTTGTGCTGGGCACAAAATAGGTCCTCAATAAATATTTGTCGAATGAATAAATTATCAAATGAATGAATATTTGCTCTTAGTTTATTTCTTCTACTCAAACTATTTAAAAAAATTCTGAAATATTCTAGACACTTAGAAAAACGCCCACTGCTTATATCTAACAAATCCTAAAATTTCAATATATTGGTCCACATTTTCTTCTATCATTTGAAAAAAAAGGAAAAAGATATATATATATATATATGAAATGGAGAGATAGCTAACTTTGGGAGTATGTAAAAACGGACAGTCTTTGCTCACCTGTGAGATGAATGATTCATCTCCGTCACTTACCTAAACTCAAACTACAAGTCCCAGGCAGCACTGCAACAGTTAGGTACATGGCTCTTCTTTTCTCTTCTGTAAACGGCCAATGAAAGGTAGAGTTTACAAAGGTCTATGATGACATCTGTGTTTTGACTGGCCAGCCTTAAATCCAGTTAACGCTGTTTTGAATGTGCTGCTGTAAACCAGATTTAAAAGGGCTTTCCCTGTTAATTTGCAGCTCATTGTGCCTCTTGTTTCAGGGGGAAGAAGAGCTGATTTAGTGATCTAAATGGACGCAATACTGAATTACAGATTGGAGGATACGGAAGATTACTACATGTTACTGGGATGTGATGAACTGGCTTCGGTAAGATAGTAGATAATGCTGTTTTTTCATAACGGTATTTCAAGTTTTATTTAAGGTTTTAACTTTACACTTTTAGTCACATTGCCTAAAAACCTTAATCTTGTACTATTTTAAAGCACTTTTGGTTCAGAGAAAGTAAAGGTTTTAAATGTGTGTTGAGTCTTTACTTGAATAGTGTCCTTTTGCAATTTTATGGACGCTACTGATTGAATACGTGTATTCTGGCACATGACCATAGACTGTATTTCAAGTATACTTAAAATACATATTTGAAATTTTGTTGTAATTGCTGTTGGCTGTGTTTCAGTAGTATACGTAAGCTATATCTTTACTATGGTAATTTACACTCTAATTGAGATGAAATGTAATTTTCTAGTAATTAGTCATTTTTAAATGTTTTATTAAAATATGTGCTTTTATGTTTATATAAACGAAGAAACATCCTTTATGTTAATATTTCAAATTATGTGAGAGAAATTACTTCTTAAAAGGGTGGCTTCTGACATAAAGCATGTGAAAGGTCTGTAGTGTTCACTTGATTTAAAATGGAATAATGTTTTTAAAGGTCCCCATAGACAATTGTAAGGGTTGTAAAGTTTCTAGATTATGAAAAACTTACTTAGAGTTCTACCTCCCAAAGGTAACACTATTAATGTTTGGTATATTAATCTCCAGTCTTTTTCCTATACCTGTTTTTCGAAGACATGTTTGAGAGGATATTATATATTTGTGGATTCTTGCTTTTTACCTACTAACATTATAACAAGAATTTTTTTATGTGATTAAACACTCTTAATACATATTTTAATGATTACATCATATTTCATTTTATTGTTTCACTACAATTGATTATTCTCTTGTTAAATATTTCATTTATTTACCAGTTTTTCAATATTTTAAATACTGTTGAGATGACTATGAAGTATATTTCAATTATATTATTAAATATATTCATATTATTTTATATTTTATAAATGTATATTTAAAATATCTATTTTATTACTAAAATATAGCTATTTATATTAAAATTTTTTAAAGCAAAATATTTTTTCTATTTATCTTTTTTTTACATGGCTGGAATTTAGCAATAAAATGTACTTTGGAGAATAGAATGTGATTTTGGACACAAAGGATTAAAATCTCTATCTTCATCACTTTGAGGAAGTTAATTCAGGTACCTTGTAGTTAAAAACACACACAGACACACACAGACACACACACACACACACACACACACACACACACACACACACCAGGTTATAATGCTCTTTTAGGTACATAGTTGTCCTGTAAGATAATATGTTACTTTTGTTTACTTTGGTGGTGATTTTGCTTATAACAATGGAGAAAACTTATTACCATTTTTACTATAAGTGTTGTTCATACTTTAGATTATACTATTGCCAAAAATTTTTGAAGGAACTATTTAAAATCAAAGGAACATAATTTAACTTGATAAACTTCATAATTTGAATTAAAAAATATTATCATGCTAAGTTATAAAGTAAGCATTATATTCCCATATTAAATCTGACTGTTCAGTCATTCTCTCATAGTTCTGTTATTGTCTTTTCAGCCTACAAAAGAGAAGGATTAATTTTGAGTAGACTTTAAAAAAAATGATCCCATTGTTTATTTATAATGTTTATAACAGTTTCATTTCATGTTTACCAGATACAGTCATACTTCTCCGTATGTACTGTGGCATATATTAAAAGAAGAATAAAAGCATTATCTTGACATTCCTCCTCTGGATGTATTTTGCTGATTCTGTTACTGGCACAGCACATGTAGATAACTGTTTACGAAAAATGAAATGACCTGTCACAATTTTGTTAATTCTCTTTATATGTATCCTTCCTGTTTAAAAATATTTTATTCCATTTTTGAGTATTTAGTGTGACATTTCTTTACTTGATTTGTATTGAATGGATTTCCTTCACTTCAAATGTTCTTTGATTTGATGCTCTAAAAAATTGAATAGAAATGTTCATATTCCAAAACCATTTGGCAGTTATAACTTCAAAGCAACCTGATATCTTGATCCCGCTTGTAACAATTGAGTTGAGACACACGTATCATTCTTTTGCTTTAGTATATAGTTCTTAAAATTTTGAAGGTTATGTTAGAAATTAATTAAATGACACATATAAACTAAAGGAGGATTTTCATGCTGTTGAGTAGAAAACAATATACCTCCTCATTTCAGAAACATTTACTGAAGCTTGATTCCAAGTCAATCAGCTCTTTCTCCCTATATTAGATTTTACATGAAAGACACATGCTATAACGTTTTCTAAAGTCCTTACTGATGCAGACATCATACACTGGTGGTATAAGGCATCCTCTCTGGTGTGGATCTTACTTGATTTTTAAATATTCAGTCACCATTTCAATAGTAATGATAAGAGGACTTTCTGATTTCAAGATTTCATGGACTCGACTATTGACCCTAAACTTGATAAAGGAAAACCCTTTTTTTCCCCCCCGCTGGTTCTTTTTCTTATTGACTTCAAACCACCTGGGTTTAAATCTTACCATTTGCTAGCTGTATGACCTTGGGAAAATTACTTAGCTTCCCTATGCCTTGGTTGCTCAAGTGCAGAAACTTGAGAGTGAGAGAGAGAGTACCTCCTTCAATCTAGGTGTCCGGCTTGTCTCACCCTGGTGCTGGCCCTGACATAGTAAATATTTTAGACTTTGCAGGACTTACAGTCTCTGTCACAACTACTCAGCTATTACATTGCTGGAAAGTAGTCATAGAAATATGTAAATGAATGACCATCACTGTCTTCCTATAAAACTTTATTTAAATAAAACAGGTGGTGGGGCCAGATTTAGCCTGTGGGCCAGAGTTAGTCGACACTTTATTTAAAGTATAGGTCTCATTCTAATTTCATCAATTTTCCTATGAATGTCCTTTTTCTCTTCCAAGATCTAAGCTGGGATCCTTTTTTAACACTTAGTTATCCTGTTTCCTTGGTTACCTCCAAAATGACAATTTCTTATACCTTCTTTGTCTTTCTTGACCTGGACACTTTGAAGAGAAATGTTCAGTTATTCTGTAGAATGTCCTTTAATTTTGGTTTGTCTGATGTTTTCTCATGATTAGACTGAAGCTGTATGTTTTTGGAAAGAACACTGCAGAAGTAGTGTAGTACCTTTCTCAGCATCAGGGGTACATGATGTTGATGATATATCTTATTGACCTTGATCACTTGGTTAAGGGGAGTCTGTCAGTTTTTTTCTGCCAGGTTTTTCCACAATAGGGTTAATTATGTCCCCTTTTGTAATTAACAAGTATCTTGGTGAAGATTCTTTGAGACTCTAGGGTTTCTCCTTAAAATTACACCCACTGATTTTAGCATCCTTTGGTGGGTCTTGCCTGTTACAGTTACTACTGTGTGTTTGCCTGATGGTGACTTTCTATTTTCCTCATTCATTTTACCTTTATTACTTGGAATTTTCTGTAAAGAAAAGCTATCTTTTCTTTCATATTTATTTATTTATTCAACTATTTTTGTTACTATGGATTAATAGATCATATATTTTATGGATTATAACCCAATACTACCATTATATATTTTGTGGCTCAAATTGTTTCTTTAGCTCATGTTTTAATTAATTATCATTTGATTAGATCGATGTAGGATGATCTCTCATGGAATTTATTTCAGGGATATTATTAATATCTGGAGGTTTGTATGAAAAATCCAGTTTCAAACTAAGTGAATTGAAATAATGGATACTTATTAACCCATTTATTAAAATGAGTTTTCTCTTTTCTGCAGCATATTCTGCAGTATGTAAATTTTCTTCACTAGAATCAGTTCATTCTTTTAATGAATAAATCACAATTTTCAGAAAGCTCTGATTATACTACAGTCATGTTATTTGAAGAACATCTGTCAGTCTATAATCAAGTATTTATTTAACATTTGGCATTGGGCCAGTACTAGAAGTGATGGGGGTGGGGGCGGGAACAAAACAAAACAAAAAAATGAGACATGGCGCAAGTGTTTAAAGAACTTAGCATCTAGGTGAGGAACCAAAGCTAATACACAGAAAACAATCTGAGAACAAATAAATACTGTGCTATGTGGTACTGTCTATAAGTGCAACAGGAATTAAAGAAAGAATATCTGAGAAAACTTCAGAGAATAGATGGGGCTTGAAATGATCTCACTTGATCAAAAGTTAGATGTATGGAGAAAGAGACAGAAGGCATTTGTGTGGCCAGGGAAAACTGGACAAGATCCATCCAAGTGGGGATCAGATTAGTCTCTATTACACACTGTAGTATTTCTTGGCACAGATCAAAATATTGTGCTAATAGGATAGGAAAAGATATGTTTTTAACTTTTAAATGTAGAGTATGAAGAGAGCACAAAGAAAAATGTTAACTTAAATGCTTAACATTTAGGACTATGATGTATGCATGCCAATTATGTGTGCGTATATGTATGCTATATCTATGTGTTATGTATATAAGTACATGCACATGTGTGTATATATTTATACGTTTTTGGAGTTAGACTGCCTGAGTTCAAATCCTGATTCTCATTTACTAGCTGTTTGACCTTGGGAAGATAACTTTTCTATGTCTGACTTCCTAATTTGCGAAATTGTAATAATAACAGTACCCAACTCATAGAGTTGTGAGAATTAAATGAGACATTGTATGTAAAGTGCTTAGAATAGTGACTGGCACATAGTAAGTCTCAATAAATCTTAGCTATTATTATTATTATCATTGTTATAGATATATATGTACGGATATACATATACATGTTACATAATCCCTTTTGAGGTAAAACATGAATTTATACTGCATAAGATGCTTTGTAAGTTACCTTTTCTCATAGAAATACGTTACAAATTTTCTCAGATTATTGAAAATCTTCTGCTACAAAATGATTTTTTAATGACTGTAAAATAACTCAGCCTATAGCTGTATTACAATTAATTTTAACAGACATCCTAATACTGGACACATAGGTTTTTGTTTAAAATTCATAGCCTTCTACTCATTGAACCTTCTTATAACTAAATCCTTATCTCCTTAGACAAATTTCTAGAATTGAAATTGTTAAAGGTGTCAAAAAAATATATGTATACCAATTGCTTTCCAGAAAATTTGCATCTATATACATCCTCACCCAGTTAGAACATGAGAATATTCAGTTCTTTGTAATTTGAATAACACTGGTAGTTATCACCTCTTGGATGTTAAAATTTGTTTGATTACAAGCAAAGTTGAACGTTTTTGTTTGTTTACTGGCCAACAGGATAGGGTGTTCTCCAGATCACTGAACATTGAATAAAGAAGGCAGTGGACCTTGACATAGTGGGCCTCACCTGCCCTTGGGTTGCACTTGGTAATGGAAACATGGGGATGGGGATGCTAGGAGATAAGCAGAATGTGTTCAAGACAAATTAACCCACTTTACGAGTTAGTTTACCCAGAAACAGCCCTGTGTAGGAGGTTTGTGATAAACTTTGTGACAGTAAAGCTATGAAAAGTACTGAAAGACAAGTATGGACTATTCTTAATTTTTAAAATATGAAACTAGCAAAATACGAAAAATATAAAGAAGAAATTAACAATCACACACATTAGCAGTACTGGGAATTAACCATTTTGACATATTTGCTTCCATGTGCTAATATCAGAATGTTTCCTAATGGAATGTTTCCTAATACTAGAATGTTTCCTAGGAAATATTAAAAATTAAAAAATAAAATAACAACAATCCCCCCCCAAATTTCTACCTCTGATAGATAGTCATAATTTTATCCATTTATGTTATTAAAATCTCCCAAGATATATATGTAAATATGCATATAAATGTGTGAAAAATGCCTTGAAGGATATAACCTGTTATCTTGGGGAAAGAGGGTAAAGGGGATTTTACTTTTTATTCTGTATTGATAGAAATTGTTTTCAAAGAGAGATTGTGAGTATTCAAAAATTACTTGTTAACTAAAAATGCTTACTACTAGAATCTTTAGAATATTTAATATTTTAAAATAAAAAAGCAAGTTATTCTCAATTTTCTTTGTTATATAAACAGGCTATGGTGACTGATGGTTATAGGGAGTACTAGGAAGAGGAAACACAATTAATTACAGTTCTTAACAGGAAGTCTGTCTCTTCCTATTATTCCAAGGGAGTCTCAGTAGATGCTTAACAAGGAAAAGAATAGAATTATTAGTCTAGGTTTTTTTACACAGGCCTGTCTAATACAGCGTGACTTTGATTGTAAAAGTGAAGAATTTTTTAATGAGAATTGATTAAGGATGACATGGAACTGGTAAAAATATGTTTCTTCTGCCATGGGTCTTATGACAATATTGAGTTGAGCTGCTAAAGAAATGAATTCTGGACAGTCATCCCTGAATAATGAATGTTGGTTAAGCAAGTTAATGAATAATGAATGTTGGTTAAGCAGTAACAAGTTAAATTGTCATCACAGACCACTATTTGAATAGGAACTTTTACTGGATACTTTCTGAATTTTGTTACTGAGGAAATTGTTTCTTAGAGTAAAAAGTCAAAATCCAAATATAAGGATCAAAGTGAAAAGTTGAGTTGATCATGGCTGTTTTGGGAAGGACTGATGTCCATCTTCTTCCTTCATGCCATTTAGGTTTTTCTAAACATTGATTTCTGTTTTAGGTTGAACAAATCCTGGCAGAATTTAAGGTCAGAGCCCTAGAATGTCATCCTGACAAACATCCAGAAAACTCCAAAGCTGGTAGGTATTTAACAGCTGTTTCTCATGAAAATGGATAGCATGTAGAACTAAAAACCGTTGAATAGTAACTTAATTTTCTTTTATCTATTATGCTCAAACTTATTCTTTCATTCAATGCCAAAAAATTTTTTCACACTATTAGATGGTAGGAGAGGAAGGAAACTTGTAGTGGTCTAATAGTGGTCATTTAATATCCATTTTTCTTTCTGCTATAATGTGCTTCTTCATGGTTTGAAATTTGTCCAGTTTATGATTTATTTCACTAGTCCTGGAGTGTTAGCATGACTTAAATATGTTTGTTACCAGGTGGTTATCTTGATGAGAACTTTGCTGTGTTTTCTTCATTTTGGGGACCTGAATAAGTCCATATGTGATTCAGTATGTATGCCATTATATGATAAATGTCCATATATATTGTAATATATTCATACTTTTGTTTTTTCTTGATCATAATTTAAATTCTGTTGTAGTAAATTTAGACATAAATGCTTATGTATATCTCAGCCTGAAAAAATACAAACCAATAATCCTTCCTTAACCTGTCTCCCTCCTGCTTCTCTCCTATTTCTGTCCTTCACTTGAGAGCCAAACTTCCTGAAAAAGAAGTCCACAGTTGATGTCTTTACATCCCTTACACTCAGTTTTTGATTTATCCCAGTCTGACTTCCCCTTCACCTCTCCTGGAAACTGCTCTCATAATAGTCCTCAAGGACTTCCTGGCTGCTGAAGTTAATGGTTGCTTTTATATCTTCCCTGACCATGCCCTCCTTCTTTAAACACTTTTTTCTTTTAGCTATCAGGTTATGTACTCATGCTTTTCCTCCAGCCTCCTAATCTGCTCTGTCTCCTTGTGACTCCTTCTCTGCTGCCCTAAGGTTCTCTCCCAAACTCTCTTCTGGGCTTACTCTCCACTTTCTCTCTGGGGTCTTGTCCAGGTCTGTGGCTTCAATCATAAGCTCTCTGTTGATGGTTCCCAAATCTATCCTTAACTCAGTTCTCATTTCTCATCTTCAGACTGTAGTTTCGACTGCTTCTTGGAAATCTCTATTTGGAGACCTTTCAAAGTCAGCCTGTCAGAAAGTGGACTAACTCATTATTCTCCTCTCACCCTCTCTAAAATCTCTCTCATTTTTCTATGTTTCTCTATCTCAATGAATGGCACCATTGTCCATTCGGTTGGCCAGGCAAAAACCTTGCCTCCTTCCACTCCCTCATGTCTACATCTGGTTGATTACCAAATGCTGGTGATTTACCTTCCATATCTCTCTCCTGTAGGTCCTCTTCCCTTCATCCTCACAGCCACCACAGTAGGTTAGATACCATCATTTCATGCCTGGATCCCTACAGCACTCTTTTAATTGTTTCACACTGCAGATAGTTATCTTGCTTTTTTAATTATGGAAAAAATAAAAGATTTAATATGTACAAAAAGATATAAAGAATACTATAACAAATGCCTATGTATGTACCACCCAGCTTAAAACTTCACCAATGCAGCTGAAGCCTCTTGTGTATTCCTACCCTGAATTTATCCTCATGGTAGGTAATACCATCTTAAATTTGATAATTTTGTTTACTATATGTTTATACTATAGGTATACGTATGCTATGGACATATATATGTGATTTTTCTATAAGAAAAATATTATGATTAAGACCTATCTATAACTCCACATTGCACAAATGAAAAAACCGAAACTCTTCTTTCATTAAAAAAGTTTTCACTTATCTTATAGCTCATTATTAACTTTTTAAAAGAAATTATTGATCCCTTTGATTGGTATAAACAAAGCACTTTCCAATATATGAAGTCATTGTTTTGGTTAGATATTTACCTATTACTTTTGCTTGATTGATTTTCCCCTTTTTATTAATGCATAATTTGTTTAAAGCAACAAGTTGAGTCATAAGTGTAAACTTGATAAATTTTTGTCTATGCATAACCAGTTTAACCACCGCCCAGATAAAGGCGTAGAACATTCCTAGCGCTCCAGAAGTCCCTTTTCGTATCTTGTTCAAAGTCAGCACTCTCTCCCATTTTTGCATCTCTATGGCCATTGATTAGTTTTGCCTGGCTTTGAATTTCATGTAATCATACAATATGTACTCTTTTGTGTGTGACTCCTTTTGCTTTACATTATGTTTGTGATATTCACCTATGTTGTACGTGTAGCAAGAGTTCATTCTTTGTCATTGGTGAACCTTTAGGTACAAACCCCCTCATACTGTGCCCCTCCTTATCTCTCCATTTTCATTTTCTCTCCTCTGCCACAGTTACAACTCCATGGTTTAACCACTCAGAACTACCTTAGTTCCATAAGGTGCCCTGATTTCTACAGATCTTAATGCCTGTTGCTTCCTCTGCCTGGGACACCCTTGAGGCCTGCACGCCTCCCTGTCCTGCTTTGACTGGCTAGGTCATGCTCCTCTGTCAGGTCCCCGCTTAGCTGTCACTTCCTTCAGGAAGTCATGTGTGCCCCCGCTACCCAGAGCAGCCTGTATGTCAGGCGGCAAACTATCAGACCATCTCCTTGTTGCCTGTTTCCTTATTAGTCATACTGGAAATCAGTGAGGCAGATCTCTTGCTTATCTTGTTCACAGCAGTATGCCCCTCACCTAGCATAGCACTTACCATGGAGGACTCCTACTTTGTGCAAATGATTTCTTGAATGAGTGAATAAATGAATTTATGAACATTTCTTTAGGAGACATAGTAATTAGTTCTCTGAACTCAAGTTAATATTAAGATAGATGACCTAACAGAAAAGTATAAAAATTTGATAAACGGTTAAAAACAACTACCAGCTCCAGGTTATTCTTTAACTGAGTTATTTTTCAGTGAAGTGTGGCTTTGAGTTGTTTCTCTGTCATGGCAAACAGTTTCTCTTTGGGATACACAATGAATCACTGTGCAATCATTGCCATTTCTTGTCGCCGTAGTGATGGGAGTTTTTACATACAGGCTACCAAGCTCCTTGTTTAGAGACACCCTGAACCGTGTAAATATTGTTTAAAATGAAAAGGTACACAGACATCACTATCTTCCTTTGTCAGACCTGCAGTGATAGATGATTCAACCTTTGGGTAGAAATTGTTTTTAAATCTGTTCAAGCATCTGTTTACTCAATTTGGATTAATAAGACTTTCTGAAAATGTAAGTGGTGCTTTACACACTTGGAGAAGGATTAAGGCTACTGATAAAAAATATTTTAAGATGTTAAACAAAAGTTCACCCAGATGCTGTTTTTAAATTGACAGAAATTCTGAGTACATCGGGCAGATTTCGAAATATATTTCATTGAGGTGAAAGGCTAGCCTGTAGAGCAACAGCAGGTAGAAGAAATTATACTTATATATACTTTTTTGGTCCACTAAATGTAGTCTCAACTATTGCCATTGAAATTACTGATATGTTAGTATAATGGAGTAGTAAATATGAACAAAGGCTTGTCTGTCTGGATTGCTCCTAGCTCCCACTTGTGAGCTTTGACCTTGATCAACCTCCCTGAGCCTCAGCATTCTCATGGGTAAAATAAGTAGACTACTAGTATAGGACCAAATGTGTCTGCTGTGAAGATTAAATGAGGTGTCTCGCATGTGGGAAGAGCTCAATGAATGTTGGCAATTATGTCATTGGACTTTCTTTTCTTGTTTTGATGCAACACTCCAAGATAAAAATTTAACAAAATGGAATACTTTTCTTTTTTGTTACTTTTTTGTAAGTTACTATTAGATCTTTCTTGCTTTCATTAAAAAAAAAACAAAAAAAAAACAAAAAAATTCCTAAATCTAAGGCTACAGTTAACCCCTTCCCCCTTCTAGGTGTGAATGATAGAAACAGGACTTGTCATGCTATAGAGACTATGTCACTGAACTCAAAAGATCCTGGCTGGTGCTCAGGCCAGTCCCGTATGTACACATGACAATAACTGTTTCAGGTCAATGCCTTATTAACTTCTCTTTCATCCTGGAGAAAAAGGTCAAAGGTTCTCACAGATATTTTTGTTATTGATTTGCAGGCTTCAAAGACATTCGGATATTTGAAGAAGGGGAGATTTTGTCTCTTGCTGACATCTTTCAATGTCTCAAAATTTTCCTACTTTAAAAACTCTTTATTGCTTCTTTCCCTTAGAATAAAAATAACATACAGCAATAAATCATATTGTAAGAGAAAGTCCACTCTTATCTCTCCCTTCCAGAGAACTGCTATTAACAGTTGATGTATTTTTCTCCAGACTTTTTTTCAAAGCATGTTCTGACATTATGATTATTATGATTATTATTTTTATTTCTCAAGTAATTGTAAGTTTTCTGCATTTAAACTGTGGCTGTAATAATACAAATTCTGTTGTGAAATATGAATTTAGAAGAACCTCTGTATTTTCAAAGCAGACCACGGAGTTAAATCAGAATGTCTCTGGAAGGTTCCAGCATCATTTGTAAGCTTATAAAATGAGATCTCTCTTCTCAGAATGGTAAATATTTATCTTGTGTGATTCATTTGATTAACTGTGATGTTAAAGTACAAATATAAACCCCAACTCGTTTTTATTAAATGTGGCGAAGAGGATGGAATAAGGAAAAGGCCACCTAACAGGAAAGATAAGTTCTTTTGCTTTCTGCTTATCGACTATTGTTGAGGGATTGACCTCAGAATAATTCCCAGCAGGCTTCTTTTGTTCTGGAAACTCCGGAAAACACACCAACAGTAATGTGCAAAGAGAAAGTGACTCATAGATAAATATGTAAATCCTTACAACCCCTGCTCTGCTAGTAACTGGCATGTGCGTCTGGTGATAATGAGTTTTTTTATTCCTGTTGGAAAAAATGACATCTAATTTATACAGAGGAACATTTACACTGTCATCAGCAACAGGAAGGATTGCTCACTGGAGTGAGCTGATAAGACAAGATGCTTTTTATTTGTTTGTTTTCCTGTAGCTTTCTTTTTTAAAATAATTTTTTATTTTTCAATTACAGTTAACATACAATATTATTTT